TAGCACCAACAACAAAAGGATGGGAACATAGCTGGATTTACATGTCTGCATGCTATAGGGATTGTTTGCTTATAGCTGTATTTGATGTAGCTCCTCCTTGTGGAATCTCACACATTTCCCTGGGGTTTTTCTAAATGCATAACAGTGTCTGTTTTTCTTTTTTCAACTTCAAACAGTGAGGCAGAGTTTGTTCTCCTGTCAAGGGACCTGAAAACGATGCACTTTTAAAATAATTTCCAGTTGAAAAGACAGTATATCATCTCTCTGACAGACCAACACCTCTGGGTGTCTGTAATCAGGGCCACTGGCAGTGATGGAATAACTGCAGTAATTGCACTGAAAGCACTGTACTCAAGTGAGGTACTTGAGTATTTGCATTTTATTCTACTTCTACTCCACTACATTTTAGAGGGAAATATTGGACTTTTTACTCCACTTACTTGACAGCTATAATTACTACTGGCTGTTATTTTTCAGATTGACTAGATTTTACAGCAATGAGTTTATAAAGAACAGCATATTGTTAAAGATCAAACCAGTGCTTTTCAACCTTTTTGACATTTTAGCAAAAAGCTGTGTCTGGTTGGGGCTTATCATAGGTTTCATTTAAATAACAGTTTAGGGTGCAGAGGTAAAAATAAGATCATTATTTTATATTTTCATATATTTGATTTTGCAAATTAAAAATAAGCCATAACTCTGTTTCCCCTGTAACACATGAGGTCCTTCCTAATACCTGGAAAAATCATTACCATCTTGTATGTTTAACAACAAGGCAAGTTAGCTAGGCAGGCATGTCATGGTCCCCACATCAATATCAAGATTTTCATGAACGGTAGGGCATGTGTACTGACGGCCACAAGCCTGAAGTAGTGAGCTGAATAGAAAGTATCATTGCGTTTCCGAGGGTCAGTTGTAGGGGCTAATGTGTTACAGTCGCCGTCCTGTGGTGTTCACAAGTTGAGGCACTGACAGACTACACTTAGTGCAGTGAGATATATCTATGAGATATATAGCTAGATTTTGTTTTCATTCAGTTCATTTCAGCGTATTAATTTAAAACAGCAAATAGACAGTTTTACCGGAACTACTTAGTAGGTGTCCTACATCAGGTATTAATGGACACCCAGAATTGAGTATTCACCCAGAATGTGGTGTGTGTTTATATTATGTGCTCTGAGTGAATAAGGTAATAATGTAGTCATTGGAGGGTGCCATTGAATTTTCACACAATTCCACACAGCAACATGCGGACAAAGTCATCAACCTAAATATGAATATGTATGTGCTTATGCAAGGATGAGCTTCAGCCAGATTTTGCCACTCGAGTCTTTGACTCATACTTGAGTATTTTGAAGTGAATATTGTCTGTACTGAATTCAGACTTGACTTGAACTTCTTACAAATAGTAAGGGACTGGTATGGAATATTCTTGATTTATTTAGTTTTTTGCCTAATTTACATTAGAGTCGGCTCCTGCCATCAGTGTAATTAGCCATTAGCGCTAGCATTGACCTGTTGTTCTGGATGCTTAGATGTTCTGAATGAGTGGATGCTTTGTTTAAATTTTGTTTGAACAGTGCTTTACCGAGTTTGATTTTGATCATCAAGTGTTAACTTTTTCCATTTTAGTGGGAAATGGTGGTCTAATTTGAGCCAGTTCATGATGCAGGTTAGTTAGTCAAAAGATGCAATGCTGCTACTATTCATTGGCCAACTTAATTGTTTTTTTGTTTTGTTTTTGTAATAAGCAATGTTAATTAAAGGCAGAATGAGTAAGATTTGTTGGTTGTTAACACGACATTTAAAGTTGACTCCTCCTTCCCGGCTCAGTGACACCAGAAGCACCTCTTGGATGTATGCTGACATGTGGTCGCTACGTACTGCCCTCACACCCTGTGCGTTGTTATTGGCTTGGGGCTACAAACCCACTGCCCAAAGGTTGAGTCCCAGAAATGTCCTTGACACAGCAAAATTAGAAAATAAAGGCAGAGGGCATGGTCTCTGTAGATACAGACACCGGCACACACTTCTCGAGGGTCATAAGTGCAGAATGAATGACTCAGAGGTAATCCCTCTCAATCACATTTTTTGTATAAGTCTATACATTGTTTTTTTAAGAATGTACTAATCATTCTGGCTAAATTAAGAAAAGTTAATTCTTCTTAGCTGCTGCTAATCATGCCCTCTTTGCCTTAATGAATTCAGTTTCTGCATCCTCTTGATAATATTCCTTATTTGTCTGCAGGTGTTTGCTTCATTTAAAAAATAGAGTATTGTGCTTTAAAGCAATCAAAACAGTGGTTCCTTTATACCTTTATAACTATAAAAAATATAATTCATCTGCTGTGGAATTTGTGGAAATAGCCACATTGGTAGCAAGTTTGAACCATTATAGAAACCTAAGCCTGATCCTCATACTTTAGAATTGAGACTTAAATCGGCTCTGAATAAAAGACTTCAGTCCTGACTTGGACTGGCATTTTGTGACTCAAGAAACATCTGTGGTCCCAGCAAATAGCTGAGAGCCTCGCTAGCAGAGCGAAGCGGTGTTACCGCCCAGGCAGGCGAAGGCGTAAAGCAGTGAGACCACAGGCTGCCAGACATCATTATCTCTCTCAGCAGTCCCCCACACACTCTCGAACTGGGTTAGACTTATGGATTCTGGGTGGAGAGACACCCGCAAAACAACAACAAAAATAACAACAGTGGCAGTGTTTGCAAAGAGTGTGGGACCCCCATCTCTGGAGCCACATGGGCCTGTGTATACTTACAGGATCCAATCCTGCCAGGACGCTGACAGGATTTTCCTTCCATCACATTGTTTCCGTTTCACTGTTCACGCTGTTTCAGTAAAGAACAAAGATTTGTCGAAGGTAGTGTGCCCACTACTTCCTCAGCAAAACATAGAGAAAGGGAATAATGACAGGAACACCTACCTTATTGAAGAAATTGTACAGAACTTAAAGGGCCAGTCTATTGTAGGTTGAAAAATCTACAATTGGATATTGCTATTTCCTTCCCTCTACATCCACGTCTCCATCCATTGTAATGGAACAAAAGCTGTTTAACCTGACAAAAGCAGCCTCACCTACAGTAACCTTGTTAGCCATTTGAACCTTGAAGGAGAGCTTTCAGTTTTCACCACAGCTCTGTAAAGCAAATGTGGCTCACAGGATTAGACTGAACAAATCACTCCCCCTTAATGCAAACAGACAAAAGAGGCAGCTTCCAGGTGCATGAAACAGATGCATTTGATGAAACATGTCTAGAGCGTTGACAAACTGACACAGTAATTGATAAAGACACATAAATTGAATGACTTTCAATCAGCACAAGACCGTTATCAAACTGAGATGTTGTCAACTTGAGCATCTCCATCCATCACACTACAAGCTTATCAGCAGTGGGAGGCATTATTCTTTTCTCTGAAATTGGATTCAACCACAAAGCAACAGTATCGTCACTATCTGAACGCACATATATAGAGAGATGTACCAGCTCACTACCTTATACACTTTGATAGCATGTACAAACATTACAATCGTACATGAGACCCCAGTATCTAATAGTATCTATGACTGTTCCCATGTTTAAAGGGACACTTCACCC